TACATTTATTTTCTAAAAGTACTAGTGACCTTGGACTGCCAAAATGACCTTGATTTAACGTCATGACACCCCCCTCCCCCTCCCCCATGGTCATACGAAAACTTTGTGTAAGTGTGAGGGAGGTGGGTGGGTATAATAATCGTACGTAAATGAGAAAAAGTACACATTACACGAGATCCCAGATATTCTTTCATATTCTTTAGGTTAAATACAAAGTAATCTCTCAAAGGATCTCTATACATCTGATGCAACAGTGTGAATAGTTATATGGCGGTATTCCTATAGTGCTGATATTCATGTTTGAAAGAAGTCCAAGAAAATTCGGGCGATAGAAAACTTGTTTTTCATCTAAAGGAGATGGGCGAACATAGCGTGCAGAAAGCCTATAGCTTCAGAAATTAAAAATAATGTTCAGTTTGTGAATTTAATATTTAGAATAAAGTTCTCATTATTGAAATTTATGAAATTGTGATAAACAAAACTTTTCTAAGGAAAATTTTCTCGGCAAAATTTATTCTTTTATTAAAAAAATTAATGTGGTATTCGTGGGGTTCGAACCCTAGCAATGAAAATCCTGAGTATCATTTTCTTTCGAGACTAGCACGCTAACCACTAGACTACACAAGTCCTGACGAAGAGTGGCATTTAAATCATGTTTGTGATATGAACCTTGACTTAAGAGCCCTCTATACACTGCATACTAAAGAGTTCTGATTTTGTGGTATTTTTATGCAAATAGAGTGAGCTGCCCTTTGATCAAGAATAAGATAAATTGAAATGTACAATTTATTACTTAATTTGTGATCAAATCAAGCATTCATAACACTTTTATAGGCCAAGATGAATAGATAGAACACTTCATTTGCAGGTATTTTGCCCACTTATGTAAACAACAGTGATTTATGTTCATCAGTACTTCATTGTCTTTGAACATTTTTCCTGGGGGTAAATGCAAGGCACCCTATGTTGAAAATGCGATAGATAAGCTCAATACTTACACCTTTACACACTATACTTTTCTCAATGTCCAAAAAATATTTTCCTCTAGTGTATAGAGGGTCCTTAATGGACTTCAAGTATCTCTCGAAAAGAAGCGAATGTTATGTCATAAAAGTATATTTTTAAGGTATAGTGGGTCCATATTTTTGGTAACCAAAAAATGTATATTTTTATGCAAACTTTGAGGATTAACTTTCAAAAAGGTGGAGCGAAGAACCACTCATATCGAAAAATAGTGCTATAGTATGCGAAAAGGCCCTTTTTTGCCCGCTTTAGTGTGTGTCTAATATTTCACAGGCAAATAATTTCAATCTTTGAGGGATTTTTGCAAATTGTAGATATTTTACATAAAGTATATTTTAATGTTAGACGAAATATCAAGGAAAATTTTGATATAATTGAAATTTAATTTTTCATCTTCATGTTTGTCACACTATAGGCTTATCGCTCGTCATGTTCACCCATGCCATCTCCTTTGTGTTTAATGGGTAAAAAGCTGGATGGTCATGGTCATTTTTAGACTATTTAATGGAAAAGAAGAGCTCTGTATAAAATTATATATAGTAAATGGCATTTAATATAATTTGTTTGTTTAACTCCTTTCGACAAATTTTCACTCATATTGAGACGCCACCACTTGCCAGTGGAGGGCTGTAAATTTAGACCTTACTGCCTTTAAGCAGTGAGGCATCTTTTTCGTGCCAGCACCTACTTCGACACGGGAACCGGTCTCCGCGTCCCGCAGTGGAATTTTGGAACTCCTAACTCCACGACTCTAGAGCAAACGGTAACGCTCTAACCACAGCGCCACGCGGGCGACCATTTAATATTTCTTTACTAGATGCATGCAAGTAGTAGTCTCTGGCTAGAAAAATCATATTGTTCAGATTGCTCTGTTGGGTAATTTGTGGATAATTTTTTGACAACACAGCCTCCTTAATGAAGTGCCCTTCATTACATGACTATCATAAATAAGCTGCCCTATCAGACCGGATCCAGGATTTTGCATTAAAGGAGGCACTATTAGATTGCGAGGGGTCTCGGTACCACCGACGTCCCCATTGGGTCAAGAACAGTGTTAGACTTAGGGCCTTGCGGGCGAAGCCCCCGTAAGCTCCTGGGAATCAGCAATTTGAGAACCTTATTTGACACATAAATGACTGATATTTTACCAGTATTACATCGATGTATGCCAGTGTAAACAATATCTAATTTTAGCTCACCTGAGCTGAAAGCTCAAGTGAGCTTTTCTGATCACCTGTTGTCCGTCCGTCCGTCTGTAAACTTTTCACATTTTCAACTTCTTCTCAAGAACCACTGGGCCAATTTTGACAAAAATTGGTACAAAGCATTCTTGGGTGAAGGGGAGTTTAAATTGTTAAACTGAAGTGCCAAGCCCTCTTACAAGGGGATATAATCAGGAAAAGACAAAAATAGGGTGGGGCCATTAAAAAATCTTCTTCTCAAGAACCACTGAGCCAGAAAAGCTGAAACTTACATGCATGGAAGCATCCTAGGGTAGTGTAGATTCTAAATTGTTCAAATCATGACCCCTGTGGATTGGGTGGAGCCACAATGGGGAATCAAAGTTTTACATTGAAATATATCGGAAAAATCTTCTTCTCAAGAACCACTGGGCCAGAAAAGCTTAGACTTACAAGGAAGCATCCTGGGGTAGTGAAGATTCTAAATTATTCAAATCATGACCCCCGGGGATAGGGTGGGGCCACAATACGCATTACAATCGGAAAATCTAGTGAAGAACAGCAGAGCCAACGTTACTCAGGTGAGCGTTGTGGCCCATGGGCCTCTTGTTTGTTTTGTTTTAGAGGGGTACGCTTGCCGAGACCCCCCTTCCCCGTCTGAATCCGCGCCTGGCTTTACCGAAAGTCGTCAATGACTGAGCCTTCTTTTGTTCTCCTCCTGGTTCACAATTTTTAGTCTCTATACTTTTCTTATAGACATGTAGCTGCAAGCTTTCAATCTTTTTGCTAAATAATACTGTATTTAACCCACTTATAATGATATCTTATTTGAAGTAAATATTCATCTTAAATGGTTCTTTTTTTATGACGAATTTTTGTACTGAATTCAGATTTGACCGAACTTAAATCTGAAGGCCTATATTGTAAAGTCTACATTAGGAGTTTGTCCACATGGACAGGTCGATGCCTGTGGATCGCTGAAAATCAATGAAGTAATATATCTGCGTGAAATTATCATTATTAAATCTGTTCTCATATTTTCCGATTTCCCCGAACATGCCTGTGATAACACAGCGGTGCCTGTTGCCCTTAACCCCACCCATGTGGGTTTAATAACTGTTTTTGTTCCTTTTATTAGGAAAATCTCTTTAGTAACTCTTGATCACACCTTTTGCGAAAACAATTGTCGTTCTGAAAACCAGATCATTTTAGTGACTTCTTAAAAATGAAAACCTTTCTCAGCAAACATCCGAGGATGAGGGACTTCAAGTCTGTTCACATGAAGGACGAAGCTTACCACTGAGGTGAAATTTAAACAGTGGAGCTTCGTTAATCCGGACACCAATAATCCATACGCTTCAACTTCCGGACGAAATTTGTGTTTCAGTAATCCGGACGCTTCATTAATCCGGACGATTTGCTTGTGCACACAAACGTCCAGACTGTACATGTAATTGGTGTGAAAACGTATGAGGTACATTACTGTCTTTCACTAATTTACAATTTTCAATTGTTAATGAGTACAAGACAAACTATAATTAGTCATGTACTTATTAACAATTGAATTTGTAAATTTGTAAAAGACATTATGCACATGTATACTAGTATATAGGGCCATTTAAAACACCTTCGTTTTTAAGTGACAAAATATGGAATCTGATCAATGATGAGGTCGGCCAGGTGTCCATGTTCTTACAAGAAATAGGAATTTAACTCTTACAAATGAAGTAATTTTTTTCTGAAAAAAAAACCCCCCGGAAACAAATAAAAGTGCAAGCATCCTCAGAAGATAGCGAAGCTAATTAAAAATTTGGCCCTGAAACCAGCTGTTAAGTTTTAAGCAGTACATAAGATATAAATCTGTAAAATTCCTCTTAGAACAAGTCAGCTGTCTGTCGTCAAATCGATATGCAAACTTTCTTTTATGAGTATAACAATTAAAATAGAAGTAAATATTCAGTTTAATTCTTCAAATTATGACGTTCAGGAAAAGGATAAGGTCAGATAAAAGTCCATGGATTATCTGTTAGAAAAAAAGGGTACCGATACCTACACTAAGATGTTTTGCAGTGTAAACTTTTTCTAACAGCTTCCTTATGAAGCCTGCATTATATAAGAATTTCAAGTTTTACTTTAGTCTGCAAATTTTAGGGAAAATGTCCTTCAGATCATCTATAAGACTACAAAATATCCAATTGATTCTAGGTTTTCTGAAAATAATTGCCTTTTAAGTTTGAGGAATGATTTAAGGGCACGTAATACAAACCAAAAATGGATGAATGGAGGATATAGGTATCATTTTTGTACTTGCTTTTGGTGATAAATGATGCATATATCAAATCGATCTCTAAAATATTAAGAAATTGTAAGCTTTCTGTGATATTAGATTTCTAACTTTTGCATTCACCCTTTTAAAGCTATAAAAAAATTTACCACTTATTAGGTTATTACTGAGAAACTATAAAAGAAAAATGACACTTTAAACACTCGTTTTACTGATATAATCATAAATGTGGTTGTTATTTTTGTGATTTAAAAATGAAAGTATCATCTCTCCTTAAAGGGAAAAAAATCAGAGCTTGTTCAGATAAAAATTTGTTCACTCGGGTCATTATGTTATAAGTGTACCCCCCCTCCGCCAAAAAAAAAAAAAAAAAATAAATAAATAAAGGAGAACAAAAATGGGGGGGGGGGCTATAAAAGTGACGCATTTCTATGCTGTTTTATTCCTAATTTTTGTAAACCAGCAATCTGTCCTTTTTTTTTCAATGAATATTTTTTTCTATCTGATTTCAGGAGGCTTACAAGTTCTGGTTGTGCTCACAAAATATTCCCGTGTATAATCGGCTCTCTCCCTCCTCATTACCTCCCTGTGATGATTTCTGCTCAGGAGTAGAAAAACAGTGTCCATTTCTCAAGCCTCTGACCGAGTCAACATATGCAGGGGAACCTAGTTTTATATGCAAAGGTGGGTAACTGTCTGTACGCACTACCAACTCGTGATCGATCCAGCGGGCTGGCCATGGAACAGCTAGCATGGTTAAATCAAGTGAGAAATGATATTAAAGACATCTATACCTTAAAAAAAAAATTAAAAAAAAAATAATTCTGACGTTGAGAAATTTATCTTTCATAAAGTGTTAATAATGAACTTATCTATTTGGTTTTCAACCAAGGTTACCTAGTATAAATTTACCCCCAGAAAAAAAAATGTTCACAGACAATGAATTGTATATGAACAAAAGTCATTAATTCACTTTTAAAATTGGGGAATTTACATGCAAATAAAGTGTTCAATCTTTTCATCTTTGCCTAATAAAATGTGAACAATGCTTGAATTGATTACAGATTGAGTAATTCTTTAGATCAAAGGGTAGATTACTCTAACTGAATAAAAAATCGGAACTCTTTGGTGCAGTGTATAGAGGGTTCTTATGTATAAAGTGCTCTAGTATAAATCATTTTATGACTTATTTCATTTCAATACTGGAATCCCAAAAATCTTACATGTCTCTTCATCATACCCTGAATTCTAATCCAAAGTAAACCCTGACTCCTAATCCTAAACACCTTGGATTCTAATCCCGTAGATACCCACTGGCAGAATTTTCATTCCAGATATACCCAGGAACCCGCTGCCAAATAAACCCAGAATTCTCACCCGAATAAACCAGGATTTCTCGGTTTTCATCCATTAAATAATAATATAATACACTTTTAGTATTCTTTATACTAGTAGTCGAAGCTGCTTTTTCTCTGTCAATTTGTCCTCGCTGTACTTTTTCTATCTGATTTTTTAACCTTAGTTTGCTTGGTACATGTAAATAGAATCGCACATATTTAAAGTTTTGGCTGTATGTCTTGTAATACAGTACATGGTTTGAACAGTCCGACAGGATCGATCTTCTGTGGTAGTTTTGCTTAATGATTTGAATTTGCCAGAGTGTTCGATTGTTTTGTACAAATGTAAACTGTTTTGAATTTTGATAGTTACTCAGTATTTTCTACAGAATTTGTCAATTATTATTTTTTAAAAGTAATACATTTTTTTCTCTGTAGATCCATCATCGGATATGGTGCCAAGTCTTTCGGAGCAATGTTACAAACAGTGTTATTTAACAGACGAAAATAATGCAAAATGTCTTCGTCATTTTCCGTCACGACACAACTTCAGTGCTGCCCTCTATTCAAATACCACGGAAAGTAACTCCTGCTGCTCCATTTGTACAAACTCATTCACAAGGATATGTGTGCATCTAATTGGTCTATACCTTGTTAGGACATTGTTATTATTTATTTCTATAGGTTTAACTTAATGGAATAGTTGTTTATTTAGGTGTTGTAGTGACTGAGTTGGGAGTGAATGCGCGTGCGTGAGCCTGTTTGTGTGAAGTGTTGCGTTTCTTATATAGTTTTGGTCTCACGTGATGATTGTGTGTGGGTTTTTTTTTGAGCAATAAGGCATTTACCGAGTTGCTCCTCAAACTGGCAAAGTTATTTTATTTTATTTTGTAGTATGTTTGTTCATCTGCACAATAACAATGTTTATACACACGTGCTGATTACAACAAATTATATTATTAATAGGAACAAGTGGCCTCTGTATATTGTTTGTTTTTATTTTTTTAATTTACTGTTTGCTGTCTATAATTTGTTTTATTATTTTTTTTTATATTAAATCTTACGTTCGTTTGGCTTGTATATCAGCATCATTCTGGACAGAGTGCTTTTATTTTATTTATTTTTTTCATAATTTAGAGGGTCTAGATTCAAAATACTGCTCATTTTCAATGGTAATATAAACTTAAGGCATAAATTCTACTTGTAATATAATTGTACATGCTTTGATAACAGATGGATGGAAAACAAAAGAACATTCTTCAAAATCAATATTTTTTGCTATACAGACAGTCTATATAGGGATTAAATTTGTGAAGATATGGTGCAATAATTATCTGTTGTCTGTCTGCATGTCTCTGTCCGCTCCAAGTATATTACATGTACAATGTTCATGATGCGGAATAGTTTTTCTTTCGGTTCGGCAAAAAACATAAAAAATATTAAAGGAAGCTCTAAACACTGAAAAAATGTTTTTGAACTTTGAGAAAATTGTATCATGTAAAGATTTACATATCAACTTTATACATGTATTTCATTTTCAAGATTAATTTCCTGACATATTTCTACAGAAAAAAAAATGTTCAAATACAATGAAGCAATAGAGAACGAAAATCACTTTTGTTTACTAACATTGGGAAAATACATGCAAATAACTTTTTCAATTACTTTATCCTTGACTAATATGATGTTAAAAACACTCTATTTCAAATTGTGTTCATTATTTTTACTTCAAAGGGCAGATCACTCTTTCTACATAAAACTACCATAGAATTAGAACTCTTTGGTGAGCAGTGTTTAGAGCTCCCTTAAGGTACATTTTTTATTTAAGATAAATTAATGTTTCACTATCTAAATTAAAAGTCAAATCAACATTTTTATAAAGAACAAGCGAAACAAAAACTTGCAGAAAAAAGCGGGAAAAAATAGCACATTACTTTGCAAGACAGCGTCCCTGAACAATGTCAATACACAACTACCACATGAAATTAACTACCAGGGTATTTCATTTCCCGGGAGATATCCTAGCGAACTGTTAGTAGTCAACTAATTCGTTAATTCTTTCCACGAAATAGCGACTAATTTTGTACAACCGATTCCATTTTTTTTCCTTCTCTTGATATAAAACACGTTCATTGACAGAATGAAATGCACAATCCTCGGAGATCTTAAGTTTCAAAATGGTTTGGCTGAGCAGTTACTGAGAAAAATGAAATACATACAATACATATTTCATGTGTTTCAATGGAAACGGTGGTTATTTTGAAAATTTCATGACACATCATCAAGAGTTTGTGATTATCATTTCTGTGAAATTTCATTAAGATTCTTCCAGCCATATGCGAGTTCAACAAACTTTTAGGTCTAGCAAAAACATTATTTCGCCCGATTTCGTTCGGGACGACATAACTAAAGTAAAGAAAAATCTTTTTTTATGTATGGACAAAACCAAATATGATATGGTAATAAAAAAGATCTGTAGACTCTTAGGTTACTCTTAGACTACTTTCTATTGAAGAGCTTTCAAACTCAAGCAAAAGTCACACAGTCACTGAAAGACGTTCCAAAAACAACATCAAATGATATACTTAATAGGAAGTTAGGGTATTTGTACTTCCGGCTAGGTTTCAAAATCACAAGTGGGCATGCTCTGAGAGTTTCAACGGATCAAATGTTCCACAAAATTGATCTTAAACGTGTTGCCAAAACTTCTTTGTACATAAATTCACATCAGCATTAAATACATTTTGAAAAGAAAAATGTATACACTGTATCTGGCAGACAGACACGGGTACATTTGAACAAAGGAAATATTGAACGTCTCTCAAAGAAACCAAAACTCCAAAATGCATGATTAATAAAGTATCTAGTTCATGTAAACGCTCTGATTTGCCTTGCGGTTTTCCTGTTAGTCTTTCAGGTTTAAATTTTGACCAACTATATCTGTTGAAAATTTCTTTGTATGTTTCGAATTGTTTTGTTTTGTTTTAATTTATAACTTATTTGATAAATGGATTTGCATTTCATTTATATTTATAAGTTTCTTGTACCACATTGTACCAGCAATAAACTTGACATTGAACGAGGATGGCATTTGTATACTGGTTATCTACCGTCATTTGTGTTTTAAAGCATTACAATCATATTTTTCATGACAGATGGTTAGATTTATTGATTAAAAGTAAAAAAAAAAAGTATTCATCTGGGAGTTTTTTTTTCTTTCAAATATAGAAATACTAAGGGGAGGAAAATAAGATATGCACAAGATTTATCGATAAACTAAGTATGAGACTTATATAAAATTAGATTTCTTACACTGGTATTATAGCAAAAACTCAAAGTACTTGTGTTATAAGTATCTCTTTAGATAAACTTTATGCGAATAAAATCACCCTGGTTAAATTACTCATGTAAATGAATGAAGTTTCATCGGACCTGTCCTCATCCACTTAATTATGTATGGACAGTCACAGGTGTGACCGGTCGACGGGGGCTACCTGCTCTTCCGAGGCACCCGATTCCATCTCTGGAATTTCAAGGGTCCTAGTTTTATGCCCTGTTCACAGATTTGTATTATCTGTAGTTCACTGTTCGTTATTTTCACCTTTTTCGCAGCATCATGGCTTTGTAATTTACGTATGTGCTTGTACCATTAGCAAAATAAAAATGGACTGTAGAAGGAGAGACGGATTGGTATGTGCAAAAGACTATTCGCAGTAAAAAAGAAAGGAACCGGTCTCCTTTCCCCGGCCTACTACGGGCTTGCACACAAAACTGTTAGTGTATTCTAGAGTGGAGGGGTGGGTGGGGGTGATTGTTAGCTGGAATTGTGCACCTCGGTGTGCCGATTGATCCAGAAAATTTTTGATAGGCTTAGGGTGCGGCTGGTTAGAAAAATACATCGGATGTATCCAAGGTTAGGTAGACCACAGAATTGTAAAGGCAACATCAAGAATTGGTCAAAGAGGAAAGAAAATTAGTTTACTAAGTTTATGACAATTCCAATGTACATGTATATCCAAATATTTACATTTCCAATGTCTTTGTCCGAGATAAAATTACAAATTGTAAAAATACTTTATTTCTACATAAATCTACTGGTTCATCGATAGGCACGGTTAAAAAAAAATCACGTGCGGGGCGGGACAAATAGAGACAGAAGCGGGGCTATTAGCACGGGAATTTGCAGAATCAGGAGCATGTAAATATAAGGAATAACTGTCAGATTTTTTGGATTCATGATGATGATCAATCGATTGGCTTGCGTGATAATTTTATGCTAAACGCCTTCGGCGTTTATGCAAATTATCACGCAAGCCACTCGATTGATCACATCATGAATCCAAAAAATCTGACAGTTATTCTTTAAATTTTTAAAAGGGGGGGGGGGGGTAAATGTTATTGAAATAATGTAATTTATAAATTTGTAATCATTTTATAAACAGTTTTGATTGCATAAAACTTCAAGTAATTCGCTGTCAAAGTTTATTGATTATTTCCACAATTGGCCTGAGACCATATCGTAAATACAAATCTTGGGATAAGAGTTTCAGCAAGTGGATACTGTTGTTTTTATTGCAAATGATAAAAACTATCAAAAACACTTGACATTCATGGTAAAAATGCTTGATTCTGGAAACCAGAGACATATAACATATGTCTCTGTGGAAACTCAACGATGTGTCGCCTGAGTGTATGGGGACTAATGTTACACTGACCCACCAAATTCAAAAACGTACGACATGTCTTGCACCCGAAAACCGGAAGTCTTCAAGTGAGGGTTTTTAGAGAAGTAACGTTGATAGAAGAAATAGACATTTTGCTGCCTGGCATCATGAACCCTCTAACGTAATATACTTTATTTTTAATTATATAACATAAGTTAGCAACGATTAATCCATTGAAATTAAATGTAACATTTATAGATGGTGATTCAGAGCAAACTCAGGGATGTTTACGATTTCAGAGGAAATTCGAAAAAGTAATTGTAACTTGATGATGTTTATTTTATGAATATTTTGTTTAAACTACTTTATTTTCCGCCGAGTTTATGTGAGAAAATTTTCGATAAAACATCAGCTTCAGTTTAAAAACTGTTTTACAGTATGTATAATATACCAATGGCATGTATGTAAATCAAAGCTTTCTTTTCAAAGACCAAATTTTTGTCTATAAGTATTGTAATAAAATTAGGGGATTTTACTAATAATGTCGCCTACCTTAGTATAAGGTGACGACGAAACACCCAGGTTTACGTGTTGGGTAAACACGGGTACATGCAACAAACACAAGAATAACAGGTAACGTGGTGAATAGGTAGACTGGCAGGACTCGACTGATGTGGGAAGCGTGCCGGCACGGGTGGGTGGCTATGAGGTCAGGGTGAAAGGTCACAGGGGATATATTTACATATGCAATTTCACTACATTCCTTCCCGTTTTATTTAATAAAGCAAGGGGCAAATGTTGTAATTTACTTACTAGAGGAATGTAAGCCGAAAATATATGACTATTATTTAATATGACATGGAAATCCTACCGGCAACGCCAATGTAGTAAAATTAGGGGATTTTACTAATAATGTCGCCTACTTTAGTATAAGGTGACGACGAAACACCCAGGTTTACATGTTGGGTAAACACGGGTACATGCAACAAACACAAGAATAACAGGTAACGTGGTGAATAGGTAGACTGGCAGGACTCGACTGATGTGGGAAGCGTGCCGGCACGGGTGGGTGGCTATGAGGTCAGGGTGAAAGGTCACAGGGGATATATTTACATATGCAACTTCACTACAGTATGCATTTTAATGTTGAAATCATAAGTTCAAAATTTATCCTAGATTTTCATTTGAAAAAAAACTATCCATCAGAATTAATGCTCATATCTGCAGAATTTGTTTAACAGAAACATAAAAAATGTTCAGAAGATGAATGAGAGAGAACTAGAGTTAGGTCTAGTAGGGAAGAAATCATGGCATGACCAGTACAAGGACAGTGCATGGATCTTTATCGGGGGACTTCCCTATGACCTGACAGAGGGAGATGTAATAGCAGTGTTCTCACAGTTAGTAGTCATTACGTTATGGTTTGTTTTCATACAATTGTACATTTCTATTGTAAATATAATCAAACAGTTGAACTTTGATATCTAGAATATGGATATCTCAAATACCATGGATATGTCAAATTGATTTGGAAGTCCCAACCACTTAATTTTTAAGTCTTTTAAGTTAGATATCTCGAACCCTCAGATATCTGAAAGTTTTTTTCTCGGTCCCATCAAATTCGAGATAATGAGGTTTGACTGTAATTATATTATATGTGTATTAACCAGTTACTTTACATGATGAATACAGTGAATTATTCAATAAATATTTAATAACCTACTAAATTCTATGGATACATCTAAATTAAATCTTTTATTTTCTGTAAGATATGGCGAATTGGTGAATATCAACTTGGTGAGAGATGGAAAGACGGGAAAGTCTCGTGGATTTTGCTTCATTTGTTATGAAGATCAGAGGAGCACTGTACTAGCTGTAGATAACCTGAATGGAATCAAGGTAAGCTGAAATCTCTTAAGTTTTGGATATTATCATGTTAGAGAAACATAAGGTCATGAATTTCTTTTACTCATTAAAGACCCCTATTGACTTCAAGGCCAAAAGCTGAAAGTTGAAGGTTGATCGTTTTTTCTTTCTCCATCTGCATATTTTTCCTTAAGTAGGGGATGCAAAATCTATGAGTTAGCCTGTTAAAAATGGATAATAACAGTCCATTTGTTTGTTTACATACAGCTCTTAGGAAGAACCATTCGTGTAGATCATGTGGAAAATTACAAAGTCCCCAAAGAGCATGGGGATGAGGATGAGGTAACAAAGAAACTGAGGCTGGAGGGGATTGCCCCCAAAGTAGAGGACGAGGACAGTGATTCTGAGGAAGAGGATTATACTATACCAGTGAAGAAAAACAAAAAAGGTTAGTAACTTTGATCATGATTCACAAGGGTAGTTCCTCTTGAGTGTGCTCTCTTTTTTTTGGACTTTGATGTTTTTTGCTCTGTATGAGTGAATGCAATATAGAGAAGAATTTTAGGTATGATGTTTCAAGGGTAAACAAAAATGCAAGATTTTTTGCAATTCCTTATTCTTGTCAGTGTGATCTGTATTGATAATGAATCATTTTTGCAAAATTTTCATACTTCTTTGTACGTCAACCAAAATCCACTACCTCAAACTTGATCCATATACCATATTTTTTCCCCTGTCATTGGTCCTCAATTCAGAGACATAGTGTACCTTAAATACAAGAGAGTTACCTAATTATCTTACTTATGTCAGTAATACACTAGCTATTATTACTCGTTGTATTTTTTAATGATACATGCATGCCACAAGTCTAATAAATATTACGAAAACTTTAATCATTTAGTTCACAAGGTACCCTTTTTTATGGATTTGATAGGTAATTTTACAATATTAATGATGCATTTGCTGGTAATTCTTCTTATAAGTAAATGCACTGTCAATTCATGAATTTATTGAAAGAAGATTTGATAAATGATACTTCCGTATTAACAGAGAAAAAGGCAAAGAAGAAGAAAAAGAAAAATAAGATGAAGAAGCAGAAGTCGGACAGTGATAGTGAAGACTCTAGCAAAATCAAGAATAAAAGAAGGAGTGAAAAATCCCAAAGCACAAAAGAATTACCTGATAAAGAACAAACTAAAAATCAAAGACAACAGTCATCAATAGATAGGAGAAAAGAGAGTGATAGAGACTTAAAGGATAGAGAAGGATCTCCAGTGAGGTATAGAGAACAAGGTAGGGATAGAGATACTGGATCTTCATTAGACAGACCCAGATACAGAGATGATAGATACAGGGACAGATCACCAAGAGGTAGAGACTTTTCCCCCAGACGAAAAGACAGGGAATCACCCAGACGGCGAGAACAGTCCCCTCCACACAGAGGGGATAGAGAAAGAAACAAGGAGTCACCTAGGCGACGAGAGAATTCTCCTCCGTACAGGAGAGATAGAGACAGAGATTATTCCCCGAAGCCCAGAACTCGAGATCGATCTCCAATTAGACAAGTTAGGGAGTATTCACCTCGTCGAAGGGACAGGTCCCCCAGGGATAGATACAGTGATAATTATAGGGACAGGAGGAGGTGACAGAAATAGAGGTGACACAGATAGGAGGAGGTGACCTAGTTATGAGGAGGTGACTTAGTTTTGAGGAGATGACTGAGATAGGAGATGGTAATAAAGGACCATCAACATACCACACAACACGTACTGATATAAACAAGAGGTGGATCCTAGGGAGTGTTCATGAGAAGTACGACAAAGACAAAATTTATACATGTAGTAGTCTGTGCAGTATGAAGACTTATGATTTATTGAATTTATATCTAAGTCATGTGAGGAAGAATTATATAAAAATGCAGTCTTCCATTTTGGTGTTTTTTGATTTTTGCTAAAATGAAGATATGATGATAAAAGTGATTTTTTGCTGGTTTAAAGCAGAAATTAAAGTCAATTTGGCATTATTTTTGAAAATACGTATGTAAGTTTATCAAAGCTTATATGAACTATTTACATGAATATTTGATTAAATAAAAATTTAGAGAAGAGGCTTTTTGAACCTGGAGCATACAAATGAAATTAATAGTAAAAATTAGAATAAAAGACTAAAAAGCTGCAACTCTGATACGATACCATTACACGGTTTCTCTTTTAATCTAGAAAGACGAGAAAAAACCCAGAGATATTGGAGGATTCAAGATATTGAGGTTAAAAAACAGTAAAAAAGTGTTTGTGAATTACGACTTCCTTTTCATTCTCAGTATTGAAATTCAACTGTATTTGTACTTGATTTCAAAACTTCTTTCATACACCTATTAAGTCTTTTTGTAACAAATTTCTAATTCACGTAACTCATATATAAACTCTCTTTTAATGTGTATGTTGGTCTGGATTCAGCATTTGAGTGGGTATCATTTGGAAACACTGTAATTTTTAAGGAAAATAATTCGGCTTCCCTGTGATAGAATTATTGAAATAGATTATAAATGTTAGCTACCATATAGAATAACACAGTCAATATAGGTTGTAATGTAGGATGTCACAGTAAATATAGGCTATAGTATAGATGCCACATTCAATTTGGGCAATAGCATAGGATGTCACAGTCAATTTAGGCAGTAGTGTACAATGTCACAAACAATTTAGTTTTGGTTGTCACAGGCAATTTAGGCAATATGTAGGACTTTTGTCAATTTAGCCATAAGTTTAGGATGTTGCAGCCAATTTAGACTGTAGTAGATATAGTCAAATTAGGCTTTAATGTATGATGTAACAGTCAATATAGGCAATAGTGTAGGACATCAGTCAATATAGGCTACCTAAGTAGAAGCACAATCAATTTAGGCCACATTGTAGGATGTCACAGTTAAATATAAATATAAATTTGTGGTCTTTTCACCATGAAAACCACAGGCACTTGTTTTGTAATAAATTTTTAACCCACAGCATTACAAACTATTTATTACAGAAACAGGTGCCTGTGATGAAATTAATTTCACAGTATACAAAAAGTAAAACCACCCAAACTATGTAAACCATTCAATTGCCTTTTAAGCACATTTTTCAGCAATTACAACGTAAAAGATTCATAAAATTTATTTTAATTTTAAATAACTTGATAATGACTTGTACAACCACAGTTTATCAATGATATCATGAACACAATTAGATGTTACAACAAACACACTTACATAGTTATTACATACAGTTACATTTCTTCTTCACACACATTTACACTCTTTTTATACAATGAATATTTTATTCAATATACATATACTGTGTACACAGGCTTTTCCTCTGGTGTGCTTAAATAATTTGAATTAATCTCCCTTCAGATTTAATGTACAAAGCACTCGATCAGAGCATTCATAAACTACAAGCCCTTTTAGTAGCATACATACAATTTTTTAGTATACCTCACTTCATATAAATGTTCATAATGCACATGTAGATACATGTACAAAAAATTGTACATAAACACTCCATTCAACAGCCATGCAAATTTTACAAGAAAACACACTTATGTCAGGTTTACCATTCAACATGTTTCCATACACAGGCTTTATCCTAACCATGTAAACAAAGAATTTTAAAAGGCATGATTTCTTGTTTTGGCAACTTACAAAATAAATGAAATAAAATTCATGCAAACAGAAAACCAGTGTCAACTAACTTAAATTTTGCTAATGCAAATTCAACATTCAACTAATACATGTAATTGTAAATCCGTAATTACAGCATTTCACCTTTAATAAGCTGAGTTTTCAAATCTGCCACTTATGGATGACAGTGAAAATAAAAATGTATTCTAGTGCACAGTACTGTATACAGTATCATAAAAGTCATGTAACATTATAAAGACACTCTTATGAGCAGTGAGTGCAAAAACAAGGCATGAAAATGTATAATGAATCCATGCACTTCCTACCACCAATTTAATTTTTCTTTCTTTTATATATATACTCAATTTAGTTCGGCTGGGGTATAAATATATAACCAGACAATGTATCTTGTGATACTCACATTCACATTTTGTTCAAATTTGAATGCAAGTATACTATATTCTGATCTACTTTGAGTATTAAATATAAATTAGATGCATGCCATTAATGAAATTTAAGCAACATTAATTTACAGATACTATGCACTTCAAGTTTTACCCATTTCATGTAGAAAAGTAATATGATTCTTTTTTAATGCATAATTAAGTGTGCACATCATTGTATACATGTACATGTATCAAAATATATTTCAATTTGTATTTGGCAGACTGCTGTTCTCAAATTTTAAATAAGCATTTGATACACATGTATCTGATCAGGTATATAATTTTATAACAAAGCACAAAAACATTAAGAAAGAAATGTGAAGTGCATTAAGCTTCATTTTTTGAAAGAAAAATGCTACCCAAAGCCCTTGACCAAAAATGTCTCTCTTTAATGCAATAAATACAGGCACATATTAAAAAAAATTCAAGCACAAAACCTGACAAAAATACAATCTATGTCCTGAAGTTTGATAAGGACTACAGTGAATGACCAAAAGATTGGTCAGGAGTACAGTTTATGTCCTAAAGTTCTGTCCATTCTCAGTGGAAGTGTGCTGGAGAGTGCAGATATTTCCCAGTACAGGCTTCTAGAGAAGAACAATTTGTACAACATGCCCACAGCACAGCACTGACATAAGACCACGCCCATAGTGATTAGCTGGAACACAGAAAAATCACAGAATCAGCATATGGAGAAATTACATTTGTATCAAGCCATTGGGGGCCATGATTTGAACAAACTTTAAGCTTTTGTCTCAGGTAAACTTAAAAAATTAATAAAAATGAAATTGTTCTAAATTTCAACCATTAATATAGTAAATTGGACCTATATGATCTTCATGTTGTTTTGCAACTTCATCTTTAATTCTTAATTATTACAATAACTATGTTAGTTGATAAAAAAGGTCCAGACAACTGAAATAACCATGTTTAGAATGAGTGAGACTGAGTCAAACTATACTCATCCTCACAATGTCAAGGTTTTGTGATTTCGGAACTCCACACTAACCCTTGCCATAAGTCGCTATTTAAAAATTGGGCTAGAAAGCTACTATTTCATTTGTTCCTGGTCTAGGACTGATCACAAAACAGCTTTTATTATCGATAAGTTTCGGAAACAAATATGACTCGTCTTTAAAATGGAAAGTGTCAATATTGTAGGATTTGTGACTAGTTACTTTAAATGATTAACATCGGGGATTTTGAAGATCATCCTCCTTACAATCACAAAAGATGTGCTCTGGAGTTGAGCAATTTGATAACGATGGATTTGAAGAATAAATTCTCATTGGTTAGTTTATAATTACCCATTACGTCATGTGTAACCGCAAGCCAAACTTTTAAATAACAACTTATGTCAAGGGTATGTGTGGAGTTCCGAAATCACAAAACCTTGACATTGTGAGGATGAACTATACTTAGTAACTAAAGTCTGAAAGTGGTAATGTATTTAAATTAGTGCTGGATTCTTAAACCTTGGAGAGTCCCATGGTGAAAATCCTAAATAAAATATCATACAGTATGTTCAATTAGTTTTTATCACTTTTTAACATATTGAAATGTTGAGATTGAAGCACCTTACTATAATACATCAACATACCTTATAACGAAGATATTCATAGAATATCCAGGACAGGACAACTAAAAGTGGATAGCATAAAAACCAAAGCATACAGCTCTGTAAAATAAAACCAGTGCTCATTAAATAATTAAAATACTACAAATAGAATTCAGAACAACTTTTTCAACTAGCAGATAAGAGGTGGGTAACCCCAACCCCCCCCCCCCCCAACCCCCCATGTTATAGAATGGCAATGTCCAGGTTTACCTATGAGAAACCCAAAATATCTGTCTGATTGAGACAAGAAGTAAGAAAGTTTTGTGAAAGTCTCATCAAATTTTATTCATTTATTTCATTGGTATAGAGGAATTGCAGATAAGACATGGACACCCCCAATTTTATAGAAAGAAAGTGACCATGTTTTGCTATGGGAATCCCCAAATTTCTGTCAAATCGAATGAAATTTGTGCAAAAGATGTGCACATTGGCACTATGTAATGAAGATTTTGTTAAAAAGTCTCATTAAATTTTATTCATTGGTATAGGAGGAGTTGCGAATAAGAGATGGGTACCCCTATTTTATAGGAAGAATGGCATGTCCATGTTTTGCTATGGAAAACCCGAAATTTCTGTCCGATTAAAACCAGAAAATAGGAGGTGCACAATGGCACTATGAAATAATGATTTTTTGAAAGTCTCATTATTCAGTGGCATAAGAGAAGTTAGGGATAAGAGATGGGTACCCTCAATGTTATAGAAATAATGGCAGTGTTTATGTTTTGTTCCGAGAAACCCCAAATGTCCAAATGCAAAATATGAGATGCACAATGACACTATGCAATAAAGAATCTGTGAGGGTCTTATTAAATTTTATTCCATGATATAGGAGTTGCAGATAAGAGATGGGTACCCCCAAGTGTTAAGGACGGACAGCTCCATCACTAAATATACCCCCTACCCACTTCTCAAGCGGAGGGAATGAGGGTTATAAATATATGCACATACACATATGTTTTATGTTTTAAAACATTTAATCAAGAAGTAAAAAGGTACCTTTGTAAATGATTTATAAAATTCTCGTCGTAGAGCGCTGCGTTCTGAAGACACAGTTACATTCAGATTCCATGCAAATAAAGCTGCCAGCAGGATCCGCAAAATGACTAGGGCTATTCCCGCAAAGCTGCGATGTGCGTGGTACATCCTGTGGTCACTGTCCTGAATCTGCTCCCAAACAAACAAAACAGCCTACAAACAAATACAATAATATACAAACAAACAAACAACACAGCCCCATATACAAACACAACTGCCTTAAGACATACATGATACAACTTGAAACAGTTGACTGTTATAATACGTACTGTAAAATTACATATTTTTGTGGGGTCAATTTTTTGTGGTTTGAGAAAAAAATTCATGGTTTTTTCTTGGGGATTGATTATGTGGTGGTTGAAAATGTGTCAAATTGTCAATTTTTTAAATTTTACATTTTGTGGAGCACATGAATTTGTGGGTCTCTTCATATATGTACCACGAAAATTAAACCTCCACAAATATTAATGATTTCCCAGTATTTGAAAATAAATATCAATGATAGAAAATCAATCAGAGCTTTCTGATCAGATAGTTCTGTACATGTTGAATAAATGTAAAATATATTTCTGGCTGTTCTCTACAAAGATTTTTCTTTCATGATATTTCAAATTATTAGGCACATGTGCATGATGTTTTACATGTACCTAATTAGACACACTGTAAATTTCCCCTCAAGTTCATGTACATAGACCACTGAAAAAAATTGGTTACTTTTCTGACTTTAATTAAATATTCTGGTTTTCCAATTCATGTTTAACACACAAAACCACATGACAGTCGTGTGCCATATACTGGTAACACTCACCTGAACAATTCCAAGTACACCTACAACTTTAGCTGCTGGTTTACGACTGACCATCTGTAGGTGTGCAAATCTGTAGGAGGTGCCCAGTGTCCAGCCCAGACTGAGACTCAGGAGCATGTACAGCATAGCAAACTGGGATAACACATCAAAGACTGAAAATATAGGTTAGAAGCATGTACAGCATAATAAACAGAGCCAACACACCAAAGACTGAAAATATAGGTCAGAAGCATGTACAGCATAGCAAACTGAGACAACACATCAAAGACTGAAAATATAGGTCAGAATTGAAGCATGTACAGCATAGCAAACTGGGACAACACATCAAAGACTGAAAATATAGGTCAGAAGCATGTACAACATAGCAAACTGGTACAACACATCAAAGACTGAAAATATAGGTCAGAATTGAAGCTTGTACAGCATAGCAAACTGAGACAAAACACCAAAGACTGAAAATATAGGTCAGAAGCATGTACAGCATAGCAAACTGGTACAACACATCAAAGACTGAAAATATAGGTCCAAACAATAAACTGATGATATAAACAAGAGGCCCAGGGGCCATATCGCTCACCTGAGCACTATGGCTAGGAAAAAGCAGAAATCAGTTCAGTCTTGAAAGGTTGAAAAGTTTAAATAAAAAAGTGATTGGGGGGGGGGGGGGGGGGTCATGAATTGAACAAATTTGAATCTAAATAATCTGAGGATGCATATGCTTCCATTTAAATATGACCAATCATGGCTTTGCTGTTCTTGAGAAGAAGATTTTTAAAGATTTAACCTATGTATTCCTATGTAAAACTTTGATCACCCATTGTGGCCCCACCCGACCCCCGGGGGTCATGATTTGAACAAACTTGAATCTACACTACCTGAGGATGCTTCCATGTAAATATGACCAATCATGGCTTTGCTGTTCTTGAGAAGAAGATTTTTAAAGATTTTTCCTATATATTCCTACGTAAAACTTTGATCACCCATTGTGGCCCCACCCGACCCCCGGGGGTCATGATTTGAACAAACTTGAATCTACACTACCTGAGGATGCTTCCATGTAAATATGACCAATCATGGCTATGCTGTTCTTGAGAAGAAGATTTTTAAAGATTTTTCCTATATATTCCTATGTAAAACTTTGATCGCCCATTGTGGCCCCAACTGACCCCCGGGGGTCATGATTTGAACAAATTTGAATCTACACTATCTGAGGATGCTACCATATAAATATGACCAATCACGGCTTTGCTGTTCTTGAGAAGATTTTTTAAAGATTTTTCCTTTATATTCCTATGTAAAACTTTGATCGCCCATTGTGGCCCCACCCGACCCCCGGGGGTCATGATTTGAACAAACTTGAATCTACACTACCTGAGGATGCTTCCATGTAAATATGACCAATCATGGCTTTGCTGTTCTTGAGAAGAAGATTTTTAAAGATTTTTCCTATATATTCCTATGTAAAACTTTGATCGCCCATTGTGGCCCCACCCGACCCCCGGGGGTCATGATTTGAACAAACTTGAATCTACACTACCTGAGGATGCTTCCATGTAAATATGACCAATCATGGCTTTGCTGTTCTTGAGAAGAAGATTTTTAAAGATTTTTCCTATATATTCCTATGTAAAACTTTGATCGCGCATTGTGGCCCCAACTGACCCCTGGGGGTCATGATTTGAACAAACTTGAATCTACACTATCTGAGGACGCTACCATATAAATATGACCAATCATGGCTTTGCTGTTCTTGAGAAGAAGATTTTTTAAAGATTTTTTCTATATATTCCTATGTAAAACTTTGATCACCCATTGTGGCCCCACCCGACCCCCGGGGGTCATGAATTGAACAAATTTGAATCTACACTACCTGAGGATGCTTCCATGTAAATACGACCAATCATGGCTTTGCTGTTCTTGAGAAGAAGATTTTTAAAGATTATTCCTATGTAAAACTTTGATCACCCATTGTGGCCCCACCCGACCCCCAGGGGTCATGATTTGAACAAACTTGAATCTACACTACCTGAGGATGCTTCCACATAAGTTTCATATTTTCAAGCACAGTGGTTCTTGAGAAGATTTTTTAATGATGCCATTAATTTTTCATTATCTTTCTTAATTATCTCCCCTTGGAAGAAGGCGTGGCCCTTCATTTGAACAAACTTGAATCCCCTTTACCCAAGGATACTTTGTGGCAAGTTTGGTTGAAATTGGCCCAGTGGTCCTTGAGAAGAAGATGAAAATGTGAAAAGTTTACAACAACAATGACAACGACAACAACGACGACAGACAACGGACAAATTTTGATCAGAAAAGCTCACTTGAGCCTTTGGCTCAGGTGAGCTAAAAAGACTAAACTTATGCATCATTATGTCATCGGTGTGACGTCACCCGCGTGGCGCAGTGGTTAGAGCGTCTGTTCTAGAGTCGCGAAGTAAGGAGTTGATCCTTACGTCGCAGGTTCGAATCCCACTGTGGGACGTGGAGACCGGTCCTTCGGATGAGACCGTATAAATCGAGGTCCCGTGTCACTGGCACGAAAAAGATCCCTCACTGCTCAATGGCCGTAAGTGCCGAGTACAGGACAAAATTTGCAGCTCTCCACCGGCAAGTGGTGGCATCTCAATATCAGTGAAAAATTCTTGAGAGGGACGTTAAACAAAATACAAAACAAAACAAAACAAGTCATCGGTGTGACAGGGGGTTTTACTTCATAGTTCTTAGTACTAAGTTTTAATTAAATAAAAATGTTAAATATATCAAGTTTTCTCAAAGGTGGCTTACACTCTGCAAAGAACTCAATGGCTGCAGATCCCATTCCATCCTTGGAATATCTAAAATTTAAAAAAAAAAATCTTTTAATAAATATCCACAATTACTCTAAATTATTTCACTTCATCATAAATATAATTCTGCACAATTATTTCAAAACCACTTTCCCAGTGAGGAACTTTTCCTATTGCTATGTTTGCAAACATATTGATTATCTCAGATTCTTAATTTTATATGCATTAATTTTGATAAATGAATCTAACAGGTACTCTAAATATTATATATTCTTGGAGACTGCAATACATGTATCACACAACTAATCTTGGCCTTTCACTTTGAACTTTGTACAATTGACTCCCCGAAAGACTATGGGTGTTTTCTTTAACTTTGTTGTTAGGTAATACATGTGCAGTGTATGAAGCATGTAGGTTTGAAAGAACAAAAGTTTCTGTACCATATCAAAGTTTCAAACATGGTGATTACTATAAGGCAGCCACACTTTGAAATCTGGTTCAAATAAACTACTTTGTCCCCCGAACACTTTATGGTGACTTATGTTTTGATTACCTGGCCAGGTGTATCATCATGATAAATGTCCCTGTGGCCTGTAGACAAGTTGAGACAGTAAGAAGTATAATCACAAGCTGCATGGGTCCCCCCTTACTCAGAGTCTCGTAGAGTCGAGGAGCAAATATACAGCCTAGTACAAAGTATGCCAGGGTCAGCAGCTGATAGAACCGCAAGAGACCTGTGGAAATAAACATTAAGTACAGCACATAGATCATTTTATAAAAAACAATTATTGATGTTATGTTTTTGTAAAGTGTAAGAATAAACTAAATATCTGTTGTAATTCAAAATCAAAATTTTAAATTTATCCCTTTATTCTTTGGAACTAATCATCCGTTTAGTCCATGTATTACTGTTTCTTTTAAGTTCAACACAAATGTTCACAAATACTTGAAACTGAACATACCCCCTCCACCCCCACCCCCCTTTCTTTCTGTAATCTGTACTGTATGCATACATGTGTTTATAAACATGTACATGTAGTTTACAATTCACATTTTTCTTGAAAATTACAAAATACTTTTAGGTGATCACATGAATTTGATACATGTAAAAAAAAATCTGCCAAATGTCTAGGTCTGAGCATTTCATGGGTCTTTAGAAAAAGGTAAAAATAGCTAAGCCAAAATTACATTTTGGCCAACTTGAATTTGTGTTTACTCCAAAAATGAAACATTTCTTTAAGGCTTAAAACAATTAAAACTCGGTTTTGCTACTCTGGGAGATTCTAGACACAGCTTCTTCAGATAATCTCATTTTCACCTTTGCCTCTTACTGGTATACTGTGGAATCACCATTGTTCGTGGGGGACCAATGTTTCATGGATTTCGTGGGTCACCCTTACCCATGAATTTACATCCCCACGAACGTTTATTTTGTAAACATATATGCATTGATTCATTGAACCACCTTATAAAGGAGTAACCCACGAAATTACGTCCCCACGAAAAAGCAAAATTTTGCTTGCCCACTAACATTGACCCCCCACGAATTAAAATGATTCCACAGTAATTAAAGTTAAATGGAAGACAGTTTTACCAGTTTCATCATCTCCAAAGTGTTCAGTTGGATTTCCCAGACTGTCTGGATTTAGCAACTGGATTCTGAACCTGAACATACTGGAATCTGAGTCCTCATTTGAGTCTGTATCCAGACAGGTTAACTGGTCCCCATACATGACATGGTACAAGTGTGGGTTGGTCGGGGCATTAACACTCAGGTTTCCTGTTGAATTTCTCAGCTCAACTATAAAAGTATGAAAATTGTCAATATAGAAAATCTTAGTACCTTAATGTATACACACTAAAATGTCAATGAAATAAATTTGGAGAGTCAGAAAGATGTAATATAATGTTACAAGTAAATGAAGCCCTGCTGAGTTTTTCTGAACAGTCTTCCTCCTCCAGATCTTCTAAGTCTTGTTTTGTGAAGAGTAACAACTGTGGTTTATACTCCACTAACATTCCCTCTTCAGCCTCCAAGGTGTAATTTATCAAGGCATTCCCTGAATAAAAGACAACAAAATGTAAGCAAAAATTCTCTAAAATTTTTAATTTTGTTTTTTCTCATTAAAAATTTTTAATTTAACATGTGATAACAATTTTCTGTTTGTCTACAGGGGGAGGGGTGGTGGTGTTGAGGTACATTCTAAAGTTTAAGATAACATTCAACGTTTTAATCAAATCTCTGATTATTTAAATCAAGTTTTATCTTTACTGATAAAATGTGTATTCATTTGTGAAAATCAATACATTAGAAAATCAAATATCAAATAAAAAATCAAATATTTGTAGTTCAATTACTACATGTACTTGTTGCTTTTTTTTGCATGTCAGTATATTACTAATAACTGTAAGAAACTCACTGTAAAATTAGCTAGACATGCAAGGCTGACTGCTGGCAAGAGTTATCAGCCCTGCCAAAGATCTACTACCCCGAAAAAATAGTCTTTTATAAAAATCTTTTAATGATTACCAGGTTATCATGACTTCAATCCCAAATCTAAAGTTTGGCAAATTCTGTCCCTTAAATTGGTTTGTTGCAATGCACTTCACTACTGATACTATAAGTTGATCGAATTGAGAGAGATTTTTTTGAATATAATTTTAATTATTGGAAATTTTAACACCTCTATTCATGCAGATTCAATCACACACAGCAAAATTTCTGAGGTCTCGAGTGGTCGGGCAGATGGTTATTTCAAATGCTACAAATGGCAGGTCCAGTGGTTTGAAATTGTTTTGGTAGGTACTTTATATATGTGATTGTGTAGTAATTTTGGCTATCATATATATGGACCATGGATAGCGTAGCTGACAGTATATTGTACTATATAGGAATTTTATACTGCCTCACTATAGTGAGTTAGCTTTACTAGTGATGCTGTAAAGTCTCCCTCTGTATAGCTTTTAGATGGGTGACTGCTTCAAGTTACAAAATTGGTGGCAGTGTAAGTAATCTCTGGTGTTTGGCAACCAAGGCCTTAGAACTTAGAGCTAGGACTTAGAACTTCCATATTTACAGACTTAGTATCTGTGGACAGCAGGGGTTGCTGTTACTACTGAAGAGGTCCCAGACCTGCTTCAAGAAGTTAACTTTTTGTCCATATCTGGACTCATTGCCTGTGGATGGCATTGTTTAATTGTCATTATTGAAGAGGCCCCACTTACTCAGTATATACTCATAGAGAACCCATGCTTAGCTTAGGGTCTAAGCTTCCCTGTGCTGGAGGAAGTGTAGCGGACAGTGTATTAGGAACTTAAACTTCCTCATGAATGAGCTAGCTTTTCTAGTGATGCGATAGGGTCTCTCTCTCTATTTCCAGCAAGCAACAGCAAGACTTTATAGCCATGGGTTGGGCTATGTTACAATATTGCCCTGGATACCTCAGTGGCAAGAGCATCTAACTAGTAGAGCAGGAGTCCTGGGTTTGATCCTCAGTCCAGTCATCAAAGTATGTTCATTCATTCCTTCTTTTCATACTACATACAGTCAAACTTCGTTATCTCAAACTTCAAGGGACCAAGAAAATACTTAGAGATATCTGAGGATTCGAGATATCCAGGGTAAAATACTTGAGATATAAGTGCTTGGGACTTCAAAACCACTTCGACATATCCATGGTATTTGAAATATCTGTGTGCAAGATACTGAAGTTCAACTGTATCTGATTTCAATTTCACCCACACAAAACATCATACATGTATATACAAGGATCAATACATCAGGGTTCTCTCTAACAATTAAAATAGCAAGGTACATTAAAGAAGCAGAAGGGTAACTAGGGTTCCTAACCTAACAGGGGGTTGAGGGGGAATATCAGAATAAGCGGGGGATGTGTCATTATCAGATTTATAGGTGAGGGAATTCCCTGGCCTCTGGGTCTTAGGGACCCCTTGTATATTATACATTTACATCATATACAGTGGACACAAATGATATATCACACCAAAATAATATTTACCGTGAAAACAAAACGTTGTCACGTACATCCCCCATCCTCTCTGTGCAGCTACTGAAGAAAATGCCCCCGCTACCGTTTTAGCTTGACATTTATAACTGTCATTGTCTGATATTTGATAAAGAATAAAAATACATAACAAAATTCTCATTTTCTTTCTTGAAGTTGTGATGCATCTTGGTCTCATTTCATGTTTGCGTTCCTATCCTTTCTGAATTAAAACAGTGCGCTGTGGGTTTTTTTTATTTTCGATCTCCAGCTGTGAATATAAACCGGCGTCTGCCTTCGACAGCCCAACGTGGACAGTTTACAATTGATTGGTGACCCTCATTGTCGTAAAATATTATTTTCGTTTCTTTTAGGAAAAATAAACCAAAACATTTTTGACTATTTTTCAAAATGTACAAATTTTACAAAAATATTACATTTTGGTTAATTATCTAAGACAAACAACGAAATGCTTTTTGATTACGACATCAAACTTGGCTTAGGGTAAAACTAGGAACATTACATGTTATAGTCTGTCCCACGACCGGAACGTCACTACTTTTTGCAAGATATCTCAAAATATATAAATACTTTGGCTTTCAACCTAGGTTCGATCGGTAGATTGATTTTTTTCCAAACTTCCTGCATTTATACGAACCCTCAAGGTCAACAAATGTATTGACACGGCGGCAAATTCAAAGTCTATGGGGATTTAACATGGTAAACTCGTCCATTAGCGTCTAGATTACGGGGCGGGGAACCAGTTTATGAAGGGAGTAGTCGTTCTTTCCAAAGTAAAATTCCGAAAAATCTGAGAAAATCAAAGGACGTAATTTAAAGTGTTCTTATTAATAATGTGAGTATTTATTTGAATTAAATTAAGGAATGTTTTTAAGTTTTGTGTGAGTTATTGGTGTGTAAATCACACAGACTTGTCACGTATGCATATTTCTATTCTCTTTAGAGAAGTGGACAGGCTTTCGCCTACATCCACTTCTCTTCGCAAGCCTTCATGTTTTGATTCTGGAAAACGTGTAAATCTCGAACCGGTGACGGTCTACACTTCAACTGACATTTCGTCTAAAATACGTCTGAATGTACGTAATAGACGTGTTATATTATCAATTTTAACATAAATACACACAATTGTCACAAGAAAACTGACCTTTAAGTATTGTTAATCCATTTTCACAAGTTCTCCATCCCGGATTTAAATTATGTGCAAGTAACTCTTGAAGTATTCAAAAATCTCTAATTCGGATAAAAATGGAAACTATTTTTACAAAATAATAATGAAAGGAGAGAAATCGTCTACTTTGTTTAAAATTACGAGACAGTATTTCCTCAAGTTTTGTTCAAATTCTTTTGATCTTTATTTTAAATCTTTTTTCATTTCTCGGGAAAGGTAGAGTTAATATCGTTTAAAAATGAAAGAAAATATTTTTTAGTATTGTCAGTGAGGAAGTAATGAAGTATTTTTTAAGATCAAATTTACATTTAAATTGTATCAAAATAGTAAAAATAAGTATAGGTAATAATATTAATTTTGAATAATATGCTAAATCAAAAGTGAATTGTCAAAAACTTTTTTTGAACATTAAAATACGTCTTCGCCAATTTTTCCAAATTATCCGACTTAAAATTTTCAATTTTTTCTATTAAGCTGTGGTAGATAAACATTAGTTTAAATCCGGGATGGAGAACTTGTGAAAATGGATTAACAATACTTAAAGGTCAGTTTTCTTGTGACACTTGTCTGTATTTATGTTAAAATTGTTTAATATAACACGTCTATTACGTACATTCAGACGTATTTTAGACGAAATGCCAGTTGAAGTGTAGACCGTCACCGGTTCGAGATTTACACGTTTTCCAGAATCAAAACATGAAGGCTTGCGAAGAGAAGTGGATGTAGGCGAAAGCCTGTCCACTTCTCTAAAGAGAATAGCATATTTCATGAAGCGCGCTAGCGCAGTTACGGACATCAATTGTTCACATAGAAGTGATACGATGCTTCTTTTGACCGTGTTTATAACAAACTACAGGGAGTTGGATTTATGTGGAAGGCTAAGGAGTAAGGTAAGGCAGCAATTAATTTTAATAATCTTAATAATATGACTGCGCTTATTAGAAGTTAGATCTCTACGTTTTGGCAATAAAAGCAGTCATGTCACTTGAGCTAAATTTGCAGTTGCCTCGATTGTTTTTAACATGATAATTACAATCTTAGGATATATGAACTGAGACATACCTCTTTTCTTTATGCAGTGTATAGGCTAGCCGTTTTTAAAAATCTTTGATCCCTTCTGTGAAATTCTGTCTTGCCCTGGGTATGAAAGTTTTGTCGAAGACGTAATTTCTCCTATATATATATATATATATATATATATATATATATATATATATATATATATATATATATATATATATATACAACTTGGGCTTTCCAGAAGCTTTATAGCTTTTTGGACGTCGATAAGCACAGAGCATTCCCGAACTTGCGTGACGTCATTGCATCACTGACGGCAATGTACGGAAAATTACGAATAATGATGGATCCCCTTCCGAAGTGGCTGCCATTTTGACAATGTTAAATCCCCGTAGACTTTGAATTTGCCGCCGTGTCAATACACTGGTTGACCTCGAGGGTTCGTATAAATGCAGGAAGTTTGGAAAAAAATCAATCTACCGATCGAACCTAGGTTGAAAGCCAAGGTATTTATATATTTTGAGATATCTTGCAAAAAGTAGTGACGTTCCGGTCGTGGGACAGACTATAGGCCATCTTTAACAACTTGGGCTTTCCAGAAGCCTGAAATATCATCTCTTTGGCTTCAATAAACAGTGGAATGAAACATATTTTCTCTGCTATTACAGGCAGAAGAATCGTATTTTAAAGGAAAAGGGGTGGGGGTATGAAAAAAACCCTTACATTTACAACTTACCCGAACAGTCTTTGACCAGAAAAAAGGGGAGTATCCAAACTCGAAAATCGTATTTTGTGGATGGGGAAGATTTAAACTTTGATTTTTTTTTTCGAAAACACATTTATTTGGGGAGGATGTGACAATACTGCAAAAAAGTGTGGGGAAAGGGGGGGGGGGGGCAAGCGGCCTTTTACAGTAGCAGCTGTTTAGTGAACATTTGCGACAGTAAAAGGTTATATTTTTAAAAATAAATTTGGAGGGAGGGGTGGCCCTCCTGATGACACGTGCCTATAAATTTGATCTTTGTGATAATACGTTTTGTTCATTAATTTCATTATTTTTTGTATTATGTATTCTAAAAAAAAATGTAACCACTAATCAGTAATGGTAAAATTTGTAAACAATTGTTATTCAAGAAGATGGGTAAAACTTTGACATTATTTCACAGCCGCTTACTTTGACAGCAGCCAAGAAGTTTTAAAGCACTAACTTAACTTAAATTAGTCCGGCCCTCAATTGATTTCCAAAAATTTTCCTTAATCTTATTCTCCCAATGCAAGTGACTTGACCATCGAGCCACTGGGGATATAATAGGGAAAAAGAACTACTCTTACATCAAAACCTTCTACTGTCCGGGTTCAACTTTATATGATATAAGTACATGTGTTACATTAAAAGTTTAATCTAAAGTTTAAACTTATCGATAGTTATAGTATAGATGAGTTTAAACTTTAGATTTAAACTTTTAATGTAACACATGCACACGCTACTGCATGACAAAATATAGCAAAGAAGAGTAAAAAACAAAATGCCATCAATATGTATAACTTGCAATGCACATACTTGTAGAGCCTACTTTTATACACATGGCTTATATCCAAAGAAATAGAGGTAAGTAATAAAATTTAAAAGTTATCAGCTAAAATTAAGGGCTCAACTCCAGTATAAGGATAAAGTAGTCCTTTTACTAAAACCAATATGAACATATTCATACATCAATGTATAGTAATTTTACAGAATTAATTAATTTCTACATTTCAATACATAGATTACGACCGGGGACAGGTTGACGGTTGACACTCTATGTATCCCGTTCTACTGTCGACCGGGGACAGGTCGACGGTTGACAGTTGACACTTTCCATACGTTCTAGTGTCGACCGGGGACAGGTCGACGGTTGACAGTTGACACTTTCCATACGTTCTAGTGTCGACCGGGGACAGGTCGACGGTTGACAGTTGACACTTTCCATACGTTCTAGTGTCGACCGGGGACAGGTCGACGGTTGACAGTTGACACTTTCCATATGTTCTAGTGTCGACCGGGGACAGGTCGACGGTTCACATTTGACACTTTCCATATGTTCTAGTGTCGACCCGGGACAGGTCGACGGTTGACAGTTGACACTCTATTTATACTGTTCTACTGTCGACGGTTGACAGTTGACACTTTTCATATGTTCTAGTGTCGACCGGGGACAGGTCGACGGTTGACAGTCTATGTAGCCTATTTTACTGTCGACCGGGGACAGGTTGACATTTGACACTCTTTGTATCCTGTTTTAATGTCGACCGGGGACAGGTCGACGGTTGACAGTTGACACTACATGTAAATCGTGTAGGAGGGATTAATCATATTTCATCTTGTATATGCGAGACTTACTACAATCCCCCTGGTGTATGCGAGACCAATAGTAATGTTTATGGTGTGAGAGAAACTAACTCTAATCACAACGATTTGCGTGAGACTAACCCCCAACCCTTATTCATCGACTAACGTACCCTAATCCCACTGATGAATGCGAGGCTAACCCTAATCTATATGGTGTAGGCGAGGCTAACCCTAATCCCACTGGTGAATACGTGTTTATCCTTAATATAAATTGTGTATGGTACCTTAACCCTAATCCCACCGATGAATGCGAGGTTAACCTTAATCTATATGGTGTATGCGAGGCTAACCCTAATCCCACTGATGAAGGCGAGGCTAACCCTTATCTCTATGGTGTAGGCGAGGCTAACCCTAATCCCACTGATGAATGCGAGGCTAACCCTAATCCCACTGATGAATGTGAGGCTAACCCTAATCTCTATGGTGTAGGCGATGCCAACCCTAATCCCACTGATGAATGCGAGGCTAACCCTAATCCCACTGATGAATGCGAGGCTAACCCTAATCTCTATGAGTGTATTCGATTAAGACAACCCGTGTCACACTATTGTTCAATATGCGCATGCTTACTAGTTGAACTCTAGAAATCAAAATAAAACATCTCGTGTTGTACAGTGTTTATCTAAATATGGTGGGTAAAACAGTATATCAGCGGGTGTATAAAAACAGATCAAAAACAAAATCCGACAATTGTATCCTGAACATGTGTATATTCCAGCACAC